GTCGAATGACAGAACATAGCGCGAAAAAACTACGCGAATTGAGAGCCAATTCGCGGACGAATCAGGATCGACTTGACCGATCAGTGAACAATGCAGATTTCTTGCGTGGAAGCGGACGAAGCGGCGCGATTATGTTTGGACGTGTTGGAGCGGCTCTCGGCACACGCCGATCGCGCGTCCGGTTGACAATGCATTCGTCAGCGGTGCGTTCCAACTGTTGTTGGCCGCCTCATACACGCCATCGCGGTCACGATACTCTTCGAATATGTAATTTACGATTGAATCGTTGAATACCTTTGCTCGTGTTCTTCGATCTGCATACAATGACTCCCGGCGAGATACGGCCGAACATTGTCGCAATTATTATCGGCGCGCGTGCATCGGTTTCCACTTCGTTTTCTTTTTTTTAAATATTTCATATCTGGCCGATTTCTCTCCCCTTGCTCCGAGTTTTTTTTGTACACGTTGCTTGCTCCCAACACACGACCGTGCTTCGAGGAGGAATTTTAACCTTTCCCCCCCAGTTACTCTCGCGAGCGAGTGTGAATACGCGCGGCGAACTGAGAGGATCTTGATTCGCTGGAAGAGGAGAATCGGCGCCACTCGGGGGATATATTTGGGCGAGAACCTGAAAATCGGGTCGAGAATTTATTTCGGGATCGGGTGATACGAGATTGCAGGGATTCCCGAAAACTCCGGGATTCCCGGGGAATGCGAAGATCGGTATTCTCGGGGGTTATGAAAAATCGAATAACGTTTTTTTTTGTTTTTTTTTTTTTTTTTTTTTTAGGAGCGTTAAATTTCGATAAATAAAAATTGTCGACGTCATATCTTTCTTAGAAATAGAAAGTTTTTCCTACAATCAATCCCGACTTTATCGACAATAGATTTCTCTTCAAAAGAAAGCCGAAATTGTCGAAAAACTTTCTTTTTTAAGAAAGATTTAATAATTTTTATTAAATTAATAATTATGATATTAATAATTAAATATTAAATATAATTATACAATATTAATATAATAGGTATTAATTATAAAAAATAATTATAAGAATAATATTAATATAACAATTAATAATAATAATATTAATATAACAATTAATTATAATAATAATATTAATATAACAATTAATAAATAATTATATTAATAGACGTTAATAATTTTTATTTATTGAAATTTAATACTTTAAAAATAAAAAGACGTTATTTGGCTTCTCAGTATTATCGAGTTCTCATATATCCCTAGATAACACGAATTTCAAGACGAACAGAATGCAAAATCTAGTCATTTTATCAACAACGTTTGTTGAAGTGAAAGTATCACAAAGTGGCGATGCCTTTGTGTATCGGCAAAATTATCAGATATAGCCTTTTAAAGTTACATCAACGCGGTGAGATCGAACTTATAAATCTCGAGACGTCATCGCGATTATCATCACGCTTTCAGAGGTTGCTCGGTTGTCTGTTTCGGTGTTCATTGTTTCTTCGTGATTCCCATGGCTTATCGTCCTTTTCGCATGCACTTCAATTATTTCGACGTATTTTAACCATGGTTTGTTATTCGTGCATCGCTAGAGGTGAATACGTACAATATTTGGGAATTCCTGCAAACGCAGTTATTATTAAACTTTCTTTCACCAGAGCCCCCCAATTCACAAATTGTGGACTAACGAAAGTGAAAGACGCTAAGAAATAACCTACAGTGTTTTCACATCGTAATGTATTCGCTTTCAAATACGAACGAAATTTTCTCCTACAAAATCGCACGATTCAAATGAATTTTTATGTACAAAGTTTACCAACAACTCTCTACGATCGTAGATCAAACCGGTGAAGCGTGAAATTTACTGTTTCCTTAGCCAAGCAAATGTACAAAATTTGATCAATAACAGCTAATTGCAAGACTAAAACTAAACGATGAATCGATCAGTTGTTTGAACGAGTTAACCTAATCTACGGACCCGTGTGACTTTTAAGTCACGTACTAATTTATCGATATTTTGTTAAATAATTCAATTTTTCCCCCACAAGATATTATATACATCTTATCGTATAATATCTTTTTTAGTAACCAGTAACATTTTTGGTAACGATTATCACCTGAATTATCAAATCATGTTTGTTTGCATTTCAACAATCATTTTGTTGCTATTTTTATGTGATGTAGCCTGGTTTTCAAGTCACAATGAGTCAAATAGTAAGTGTATTTGTGTTTTCTTTGCTTTTTAGTTTTATATATCAGAGGTCTAAATATGAGTACAATATAGAAATAAAAGGGCAATAAAAATAAAAAAAAAAACAGTAGTCTCTGGTAATAGATCCGAAGATTCTTCATTAGATTCTAACTCGAACAGAGATCATTATTTGTATTTACCGATGCATAGATATTACGGACAGCGACGATGAATTTAGTGGCAAATCATCGCCAGAAAAATTCAGAATCGGTAAAAATTGTTTGGCAATCAGTTTTCATCGTCCTTGGAAAGGAGATTGTCTCGAAGACCCTGAAGCACCCTACTCTCCTATGACCTATTTCTGAAAATTATTTGATGACGGAATTATGAGTAATATAGTTGATTACACGAATACGTATGCACCACAATGTGATTCATCAAAACCCATAGACGTTTCAGCCAATGAAACAGAGCAATTATTTGATTGTTGCTTTTCTCGAATCACTAAGATACGAAATTCCATGCTCAAGCTTTTGTATAGACAAATGACAAACGTCGTAACGCCATTGTTACTTCAAAGGTACAAAACCTTTGTTCGTTACAATAAAATGAAAGTTGAAACTGCTGAATTCGTTGTTACTCTTTACATTTGCAGGTTGATTTTACGTTTACACAAATTTTTTTATAGTTACGAGAAATATTCGTAATCGGGAGATACGAATCGTTTAGATCGTTCATCTCAGTTGGAGAACCAATAAGATAATTCCGTCAGGTAGGATCAGACGCGATTGTAACTCATAAATATCCCCTGTCACGAATACCAGAAAGTGTTCTGTTATTCTCTATCGTCGCTTACGTAACCTAAAGTATTCGCATAAATATAGATCTCGCAATTACGAGAAGCATCCTGTTTTCTCTGATAACTCAATAAAACCGCGACATTGAACAACGTGAATTCAAATTGCAAGCATTCCACGTTCCAGCGTCTTCGCGTAACGAAAAAGACATTACGTACATACGTCATCGAACGTGCACGGTTTTCCCTTTGAGTCTGAATTCTGCAAACACGCGTTAACGAGTGCCCGCTAATTTTCACGAACATTTCTGTACGACTGTTTGTCCGTTCTATACTTTTTTATACTCTTCGAAGAACAGGGTGGAAAGAAAAGTTTGTCCGTGGCTATCGTAGATGAATCCTATGTTTTTGATTTGATGGAGATACATGTAAAGAACCTGCTGCAAAATTTCGAGATCATTTTTCTTTTTTTTTGCATTGTATTCTACTCATCACGAAGGTGCAAGGAAAAATTAGATCACAGCCTAATAATTTTTTGAAAAATGGCAAAAAGGTTTTTTTAATCATATAACATTACAGTCCTAACAGCGACTTTAGGTTTGATTCTGGATTAGGTTTCTAACGAACATTTGATTTATTATCATTTGTAGCATCAGTGCGAGTCTATATAACTAAATAATAAAACTAACTGTTAACGTTATTCGAAATGTTACATCCACGCGTCTAGAACCATAAAGTCGCTGTTAGAACGCACGCGTCTGCGGTGTTTTTAAATCATTTAAACTGATGTGACTTTGTAAAGAAAGATCATGTAATAATTTACTGGGTCTCATTTTAAAGAGCGGAACTTCTATTTTTTTATATACTTTTATATTTTTTTTATACTCTTCGAGGAAAAGGATGGAAAGAAAAGTTTGTCCGTGGCTATCGTAGATGAATCCTACGCTTTTAATTTGATGGAAAAACATGTAAAATCAAAAATTGAATTAAAAGGTCAACATTTTTTTTTTTGCATTATACTCATTACGAAGGTAAAACTTTTCCAAGAAACTACAGGTCGCTATCTAATAGTTCTCTTGAAAAATGCGTTCTAACAGCGACTTTATGATTTTAGACGCGTGGATGTCCATAATGTTTATGTTTTACGAATAATGTCAACAGTTAGTTTTATCATTTGATTATTTAGACTCACACTGATGCTACAACTATGATAAATCAAACGTTAGTTGGAAATCTAATCCAGAATCATAAAGTCGTTGTTAGGACGCGCGCGTCCGCAGTGTTGAATGATCAAGAAACTTTCTTGCCATTTTTAAAATGAACTATCAAATTCCTTGAAAAAATTTTACCTCCGCGATGAGTAGAATACAATGTAGAAAAAAAATAAAAAAAAGAATTTAATCTTGAAATTTAAGGTCAAAATCAATTTTGCGACAGGTTCTTTACACGTACTTCCATCAAATCAAAGTTGAAGAATTCACCTATGACAGCCACGGGCAATGCGAACAAAATTACATTTAAGTTAGGAAAATTTCTTGAGACCATGTTTTGCGTGTTTCAATTGTGAACAGTTGGAGTTACGGAGTAACAACGCGTTGTTAAAAACGAATAGCGCTGGCAATTTCATCGCAGCTCATTGTTAACTTGCAACTACGTTCTACAAAGTAAGAGAAAAAGACGACAGTCAATGTTATACGCAGTGCTGAATTACGAAATGGAAGAAACGTGGTGGGTGACAGGACGATGTGTCGCGACGACGATCACAGAGACACGCGGCTTTTTCTTGACGATTACCGTCATTCCGATGCATTGGCGGAGCATTATCGTTCCTCGTGACGTTCCCCGTAATCGTGAAACACTCGTGTAATCGACGATCCCTGCATCGTCTATTAATGCTAATCGTACGTGTACCGTTCGCTGTCATTGTTGTTTCTGAGTATCGTGCAACGTCGATTTCTAGAATGACACCGTGTAATCTTCGAGATTCTTCGGCAGTCTTTAATCGAGAGTCTGTTACTTACAGAGATTTGAAATTGAAAGGTATTCAGAACAGAATTCGTTATTAATTGTTTCATTGTTCGTTTCATCTCGGTACAGTCGCTCGTACGATTGTTAATGCTCTCTGAATGTCGCGTATCTCCGAGGACGTTGCTTCTGACATAATATCGCGTAAGCCAGAGAATCCATTCTTATCGTTGTTTTAACCACGTTGCGCTGACAACTGATTGCGGACCGTAACGAGTGGCCAAACTGTATACAATAACTTGTCGCTTTCTTTTTGAACTCGTCGCTGCATAAAAATTATTGAAAAGTAACAAATTTATTATTTGTTTTGACTGTGTATTTGGTTATACTTAAATATATTTAGAACTGAGAAAATACTGCAATTTCGAGACAAAAAAATTCTCGACGTGCGTAGCACGTCATTCCAGCGGAAGAGGTTGACCATTTGCGCTGGAAATTGATTGTGGACCATAACGAGTGACCAAATACCCGTATACAATAATTCGTCGCTTTCTTTTCGAACTCGTCGGTGTGATATCACTGGATAGAAATTATTGAGAAGTAATAAATTTGTTTTGCCTATTTTTACTTAAATATAACCTATATAATATAAATGAGTAATATATTTACTATTTATATTATAAATAAGTAATATATTTACTATTTACATTATAAATAAGTAATATAAATAAGTAAATAATATATTTACTTAAATATTAATATTAAATATATTTACTTAAATATTAATTAATATTAAATATAATATATTTACTTAGATATTAATTAATATTAAATATAATATATTTACTTAAATATTAATTAATATTAAATATAATATATTTACTTAAATATTAATATTAAAACTGAGAAAATATTACAATTTTGGAACAAAAGATTCTCGACGTGCGTGGCACGTCATTCCACTACAAGAGGTTAAGCTATCTTGCGTCAATTACGATCGGCGATAAATTTTCTCTTATGAAGTTACTTGAATTTTTAAGCTGTACTGCGCACATCCTTCTGGAGTAGTCTTGCCGACTCTCACTTAGAATGATCACAAGCTTGAAAATTATTTTTAGCTTACGTCGTATCTCCGAGCATAATCGTTGGATTACCAGCTTGGCGTATCGTTATTGCCGCTGCATTTTCTAGTAGCACGTGTCATTGAAATCGCACAAACACGTACATAACACATACATGTTGATGGTTATTGTACCTGGCACGGTATTGTGCAATTCGGAGAATTTTCATTGTCTTTGATCTACGACTATTTTTGTTTTCTCCTTGGATATTAGTCGAACGTACGTAATCGATATTTTAAAAAAAAATCGCCCAAACCTACTGCTTTTCTCTCTTTTGAGACATTAAATGATTGACAGTTTTGCTCGCAAGTGTCGTCGTTGTATTTGTCGTTATTTGAAAATTCGCATCTAAGATAGGATCAGCGTTGTGCAACGGCAAAACTATAGATCTCAGAGTTTTATTGCCATTAGTTTTTCTTTTTTTTCTTCTTGCTGCGTTCTTCTGTGATCGATATTGTTTACAATTTTTACACACGCGCGTGCGTCAACAGGGTTACGTCTTCTTCAATAAAATTTGTCATTAAACTTTATTTTTTCACGTTTTTTTCACTTTCAGTTTCACATAATAACTCTGGTATTTTTTCGTCACGCGTTATAGTTGGTCCCACTAAAGATTTCGCAGCGTTGATAACGTTTGAAACCGCGATGGCCATTCCAAAAAGAAGATTCGTTGCAGTTCCATTTATATTTGTTCGCGATGCACAGACTTTTCGGTACTCCTCGAAAGAAATTCGGAATAAACGTGAACCCGGAACGAAACCCGACTGTCCGATGCAAATTAGTAAAAGTCGTCACGAATTGTTACGAAATACGTTCGTCCTCGATTCACCTGGATTTCTGTCGAGTTTCCCTCAAAAACGCGGACTGTCGCGTTCGTTACGTTACGTGCACTCCGATCCTCTGTTGATCGTACGTGCGTTCTTGAACTTCCGCTTTTGCTCGCACTCGATGCGTCTTCTTTTTTTCTTCTTTGGCGTCGTAAGAGTTTTGAAAGTGGCACAAGTCATTTTGCAGTAATGGCAATAGTAGTCTCTCCGAGATGACAAACGCAGGCAAATCATGTTGAAAGTTGGCATCAATTTTTCTAGGCACGAGTTCAACATGCAAGTTCTTAAATTTGTGCCTCGATTTAAAAACAAAGTGACTGGTACCACATTCGGAAAAGTACATGAGCAGCAGAGTAAAATATTCCCACGATAAGTCCAATGTCATTGAACAAATTGATGAAATAATAATAATAATAGTTCAGTCTGGCGCTAAATATACAATTGATGCGATCCATTTTTTCTCTCTCTCTTAAACTTGGTTTTTTTTTTGTAAATTGTAAATTGTAAAATTTGTAGATCGTTCTCTTAGACATTGTCTTGAAATATTCCACGGTATTGTTAGTTGTCTCTTATTTTTAAAAATAACATTAATAAAAAAAATTTATTAAAAATTTTAAATTTACGAAAATATAATTAATTATTAATAATAATAAAAAATATGAATATAATTGATGATAAAGATGAAATTGAATAATATAAAATTGTAATTATTTTTGTTGAAATTCTTATAATATTTAAAAGTCTAATTAATAAAATTATTGAAAATTCATAATCATTTTATTATAAAATTGTCAATTATTATTAATATAACTACAATCAATTATTATTAATATAACATAAATATATTTAAAAAAAATTAATTTTATTTTATTTATTAAATAATAAATAATATATATTTAATTTTAAGAATTAACTAAAAATTTATTAAATAAAAATTAAAAATTTAATTAAAATTATAATTAAAAATTTATTAAATATTAATTTAATAATTATATTACGGTATCGTTAGTGATACAAGTTGTTGTGTCCACGATACAAGTTTTAATAAAAAATTCTTCGTTTTTCAATCGCTCTTATAACGTCAACCCAACGGTGTTCTTTTATCGAGTATTGAGTAACAGATTACCAGCGTTTATTTGTCTGCGTTTCCGCGTTCGACTTTCACCGAACGAAGGAAAATTTGATTGCGACATGACACGATTATGCGAGGAAATGGACGAAGTTAGTGACGCGTCTTCCCTGTGGCAAAGGACTATATACATATGTAATTGTGTATTATCTCATTGTCCGTTACATCGACTTGACTCGAGGGTATCACATACTCGACAATCTGCGAATTAGTAATTCACCGTCAATTGGTAATTCATTGCCGTTTATGTAGATTTCTTGGAAGCGTCGCGATCGATTTCAATTCACCGTTTGTTCGTTCACTTGACGCGTTAATAAATTTATACTGGTAAATATACTATTGTTCTACTGATATAACGGAGGTATTTAATTGTTAAAAACTCCTTCAATACAATGAAACGTTTATAATTTCAGTTGAGACAGTTGTTGCAGTATATTGTCACAAAAAACCTACTGAATCATTCAACTTCTTCCTATATTCTGAACTGTGGAGGTTTACTCCTTTTAATTAATATATTACGAGATTTAACAATAACTATTTATTTTGATTTATGTATAACAAGTAACATATATGACGATCGTTTGCTTTGATTGATTCTTAACAATTGAGATTGCAATATATTTTCTACTTTATTTTATTCTTTCTTCATTTGTAATTAAACTCGTTTTAAAAATACGCGCCACCACAGAACTGTCTCCTGTTAATCCTCTATGAGCCCCTGTAACTTTCAACTCTTAAAGAATTTAATTTTTTTTCCACAAGGTGGCTTATACACCTTGTTCCATAATGTCTTCTTGGTAACCAATGATATTCCTGGTTATCAGCTAACTTGAAATATCAAAGTAAATGTTTTTACAAGTTGTCTCCAGAGCCTTCTTGTGCAATTGTCACTATTTTTTCTTTTCTATCGGTGTTTGTAAAACAAGAAAAAGCGTACATAACAGCTCTTGGTCTGTACATCGGTAATATCTTATTTATTTGCGTTTCAACAATCATTTTGTCACTATTTTCATATAATGGTAGGGTTCAGTATATTTGCGATAACGTTTGTGCCTTCTTTGCTTTTTAGTTTTACATATCAGAGGACTAAATTACGACTGCAAAATCGTATAAAAAATAAAAGAGTGGTAAGAATAAGAAGCACTAGCTTCTGGTAATAGATCCGAAGATTCTTTATTAGATTCCGACTCGGACGTCCAGTATTCACTTGACAACATATAAATATTATTGGTGATAAATTTGAGTGGTGAATCATCAGATGTGGGTGCAAAGTCGGTTCCAAAAATACAATGCATACAAAAATACGTACGTCTATGCTTAACATCGAGCACAAACTGTTTTATGGAATTTCATATTTAAGCTCTCGTGCGCATAAGTGCAAGCACAAATTGTTACTTCAAAGTCACAAAACGTATAATGTTTATTGCAACGAAATCGTTGTTAATTTGTATTGACAGATTGATACTTGTTCATCTTACGTTGCGTAAACTTTTCTTTATAATTGTAAAAAAAAAATTCGATTGTCGGAAGTTAAACGAAATTCTGTCCGGTTCGTTTGGAACGTCGATCGGTTGGTTTTCGCGCGGATAGATCAGCAACGAGACGAAGGAAGAAGGAAAAAAGAAAAAAAAAACGTGGCGTTGAGGGACGCGGTTAGTTGGTGGGCGGACGTTTGCGACAGCGTGTGGCTGGTTTTAATCGAAATAACAACGCACTGCACTTCCCTCTGCGTTTACTTGATTACAAAGATAAAAGCGTCATTTGAACGTTTTTATTCGCCGGTTTCTCCAGCTGTTTTGCCTGCTGGCAGTGCCTTAATGACTGCGATTTAACCGCTCGGCCTCTTTGTATCCGTCAACCTTGCCCGCCCCCGTCATTTGCACTAGTTGGAGCGTCTTACCTAATCGCAATTATTTCACCCAGGAAATCTGGACTCCGTTGCTTTTGCACGCGTCGGCTGCGTCGTCGTTTATGCAAAGCGACGAAGCCGCCTCCTCGGTCTGTCGATGCTTTGCTCGTATTTTTAAAACGAGGCTGACGAGGACGTTTGCGTACGAGAAAAAGGGAGGATGAGGGGAGGGCGTTAAATGTTGGATGGTACGTCGTTCGGATTGATCGCGGTGGCCTATTTCTTGGATGAGACGCGCCGTCGCTGTGCCCGCTTCATCCAAGTGGCCTGATTCGAGAACAAGACGGATATATTCGAAGGCTACGTTTCTTTATTTTTATTTTTCAAGCAAGGAAGAACGAAGATCCGAAATTTTCATCTGCAACGAGGGGTAGAGATTTCTCCTGTAGAAATTTGTAGAAGTATAATATAAAATTTGTAGAAATATAATACAAATAATGTTTATTTGACAAAAGTAATGATAATAGAACATTCAAACAACACGAATTAACAAATAAACTCTTTGAACAACACAATTGACACTTGAAATATTTCTAAAAATATTGAATGTTTTTCTACGTTGTGTTTGCATTAACTGCGACCAATAAAAGTGTTAACTCCGATCTTTGAAACAAGAAATTTCTCTTGTGGAAAAAAAAAAAAGAAAACATAAAATAAAATAAAAGCCCTTTGAATTCTCGAAGTTTACCAGTTTCTTAAAAAAAAAAAACCAAAAACAGGAAAATAACGTAATGTATATATAAATTAAATTAAATAAAAATTAAATCAATTAAACAAAGTATTATATAATTAAATAAAATAAATTAAATATAATAAATATAATAAATTAAATATAATAAATATAATAAATTAAATATAATAAACATAATAAATTAAATATAATAAATATAATAAATTAAATATAATAAATATAATAAATTATATAATTGTAAACGCAAGTCCCTGCGATCGGCATTCCAACGGAGCAACTTGGCGTACACGATACACCACCATACGGTGTGCCGAACAATACAGGTTTCGAAGGAAAGGGCGTGACGATCCTACACGAAGCGAACGCGCGCGAGAATCACGAAATTGGCGAGCACGGAGTGGCTGGCGAGCCGCTTTCTATCGTTTCGTATCGTGTGAAATTCGTCGGACGCGATTCATAGAATAGAGAAATCATCGATCTCTCGTCTCGGCTCGATCGAAGGGGGTAGCCGCGGCGCGCCATTTGCATCGGAATTCGATACGAAATCACGGTGTGCCCTCTGCTCTCCCCTTCACGAGCGTGTCTCGTCGCTTTCGCAACGGAAAGAGGGCTCTCGTCGATAAGATCGAATTTTCGAGGCGTTGCTCGTGGCAGGAAATCGCGATTGGGATCGATTTCCTCGCGGCGGTTTAATGCGCCGCCTGTATTTACCAGTTTACGGGAAGTTTACAGCCGCAAAACCGTTCGTACGTAATACGAAATATAACAAGTACGTATCGGCTCTTTATAATTCGTCCGCGGTTATTTATGCAAATATTATTTTTATGGACACAATGGATAAAGGAATAGGCGAACGTTTGCTTCGTTCTATTAAACCGGCAGTATTTCATACGCGAATGTATGGAAACGGAAGTGTTCTGCGTGGGATGTTACGCGTAGCAAATATGAAAGAGCAACGTTTATTGATCACTGTGTAGGAATATCTGTGTTTCATATTCTTCCATTATAATATTAACTTCACTTTCGAGAATAATCAGGTAAGAGATATTTATTATATGGTTGAACAAATTACCCGTGACTAATTATCAGATCGGAATCTCCTCGCCTAAAATCAAATATTTTAACAAATGTTCGAATATATTTGAATCCTGCGACTTTCGACGTCACTTAATTTTTCGATGAAAATCGGCAGATTAGCCGTGATTTACGTGTTTACAAAAGTCGGAATTCACGTAAAAAATTCGCGATCGTGCTGCGGCGATCGACGAGGGATGAGATTTGCATAAACGTCGTTGCGTGCTGGTAGTACCGCCTGTTGCTCCACATTCCGGAGCGCGGTCGTAATACCTAATGCTCCAGCAAGGTCCCCCTTTGTCAAGGATGAAAAATTCCTCGCCTGTCGGCCGGTAATACCGGTATCCCTAATTGCCGACGACTATTTTCCCGCGCCGCTCGGGAAACCGATTAAAATTGCCGACCCGTTCGATACGTGTCTTCTGTAACGAGCTAGATCTATCGTTACTTTATCGAGTGATTTATCGTTCCGAACGGAAGTCCGAGGGTCAACCTTTGCGGCGCGTTTATAATCGCAAGATTGCGTATGTGAAACTTTTCTTTTTTTTTTATTCAAATTCTCTGTTTTCTATCCAGGTTAAGTACTCTCGAATACTCTTCGTTTCTACAAACGAAAAGACACGCAGCTCGTTGCTCAACGCTAGAGTTACCAAAGTATAATTTATAATTTTCCAAATCTTATAGAGGATGGGCCAAAAGTTTCTTCCCATCTATTTTTTTTTTTTTTTTTTAAATAAAACAGTTTTATTAATTTCAAATTAAATTTAAGTTCAAACGTGATTCTTTTTCATTATGTGTTTTTAAAAATTATTTCTTTCAAACGTCGACCGTGAGAGCGCTCGCAAATTTGTAAATATATAATGAGAAAATTACGGATTCATTTTGGTAGAAAGTGATTTTTGGCTCGCCCTATATATCAAGAGTTGATACTACAGTTTTAATCTATAATATAATTTAACAATAAGCTTATATTAAACGTCAATATATTTAACTAGAATATAGGTTATGCTACAATAAGCTAGATGGCAATGTTTTGTTAAATATGTAGAAAACGACACTATTTATAAGTACCCCCAATATATTTATAACAGTTTATTTTTAGAGAATGACGTTTAATCAAATATATAAATAGAAGCTTGTGCTCTTCATTGTATTGCAAATTTTTTCCTCCCTTTCATTTCTTTGCTACAAATTTTATACTTTTGTTCTAATGTTAATCGAAACGGAAAACGATCGCAAAAGAACGAATAGAAAAAGAGGGAAGGAAAATCGCTCGAGAGGAAATACACGTGTATTCACGAATTTACGAGGTCAATCCTCTCTTTCTCTCTGCCGTGTTCTAATAACGCATTGACTGTTCCTTACATAATTGGAAAGCGCGCGAGTGATTTTCGTGTTATAAAACTGCATTAATAGGCCGGTAATTAAAACGTTAATGCCCACTGAGCAAGTTAAGTGTAGGAGAATTAGCGCAATAAACTCCAACTCCAACTCCAACTCCAACTTCTCCCGATTCCGCCTCGAACAGTACTTTCCACGATTAATTATAAATCAGCGTTGATCGACTGCCCCGGGCTCGTCGGCCAAATTTTCATCCATAGTCAAGAAAAGAAAGGTAGTTTCGTCAGAAATACTGACTATTACGAAGCGTAGATTTTGTTGGCAACAACTAGCATTTCTAGCATTCGAGTGATGCTCTTTGTTCCTTCGTTGCGATGGAAAATGCTCTCCATCACTGATTCTAATTTTCCCCTGGATTTTATCTGAATTTATCAGTGAACAGATAGTTGATACGATGAGAGATGCTATACAAGATAGGCCGAAAGTTTCTTCCCTATTATTTTTAAGAAGATATCAGAATATAAGAAGAAACTGATTTTATTAATCTAAAATTAAATTCAAACTCGAACATGAGTTTTTCAACATTATGTTTCAAAAATTATTTCAAATGTTGAGAAAAAGTATATAATACAAAAATTACAGACTTTTGGTTCACTCCATATATATATACAAGGTGTCTCGAATTCAAAACTTCAGGAGCGATGAATTAAGAAAAAACTGCCTTTTAGTTGAGATTTTGTTCCATCTTGGTGAACGTCGCGAGAAAAGGAACAGAAAGGTTTTCGTTTTTACTCTTACTGATGTTATCATCCATGAAATGAAGACACTGTTCGAAAGGTTGATCACTCGCAGCAATAGAAGCGTTACATCAAGCATTGACCACTCTGATTATAGATTAGACGTTGTTTGCTGCAGCGCAGCTACGATTTGGTCACTCAGCTGCTCTCTCAAGTTGATTTGTATCGAATAAACGTACTGAATAAGAAAATTAAAACTTTTTCCTTTTTCTGCGATTTTCTCTAAAAATGGAGCAAAAGAACTCTTTTTTTTTTTTTTTTTTTTCTTCTTCAGAGGTTCTGAATGTTTCGAATACTCACGGTTTAAATTTTCAAAAATCGAAACAATGACGATTGTTGTGATCCAAATCCTTATATGTTGCTCGTTTTTCTATGTTGACAGGAAGTCTCAACTATTTATCTCAACTAGAATTTCTTCTTTTTTTTTTTATGGGCGAAATTAATCTCTCAGTATTCGAAAATGACTGATTATCGCGTATCAGTAAGCAGGGACAGGTTGTTGCTTTCGCAGAGCGCGGACGGTGTCTCACGGATAGTGAGCCGGTGCTTGGCTGCTGCACGTGACCGCGGTGCACGCGTGACACGTGCACGCATGCCAGACCTAGAAACGGCTGTCAGTAGGTCTGGCCAGACGGCCAGAGAGGCGAGGAAAAGTTAGGAAAGGCTTTGCGAAACTGGCCGGGTGTCGCTTTTGCCACGCGGCGGAACCGCTTAACCTTGGTCGACGCAGCTCGAGCAGCTAGTAAAAGTGGCGTGCGTGTCGAAATCGCGCCGGAGACAGTTTCACCGTTCCCGTATTTACCATTGTCGCAATTACGATGATATTACGGTGCTTGAAAATCCAAGCCAGCCGGCGGCGAGACAATTTACTGGAAAAAGACGCGACACCGCTCTCCGCAGACGTCTCGGAACTTAGGATAGCTATCTAGAAATATTCGGAACTTAGGATCGAAATCTAGCACGTTTCAATTCAGTATGTTCAATTTTGGGACATTTTAGTACAGAGTTGTCGGGCCGGCGAGATTCAATTCGTGTAATCTAGCAGAAGGACGATCTCTTTTCGATACAGAGGTTATTGATTTTCTTTTCATATACGACATATGTACAATACAAATTCTTATATTGCTCGTTTTTCTATATTGACAAAAAATCTTAATTATTTATCACACTCTAATTATTCTAGAATTTTTTTTTTCTTTTTAATGGGTGAAATTAATCTCTCAAAATATTCGAAAATGATGGATTAGCAAATTTATACAAAATAAGCCTGCAGAAATTTGGTGCTATTCGCAATCGCAGAGTAATCGCTGTTATCGTAGAAATTTTCCGCTGTCGTGTTATCGTAGAGATTTCGTTCTGTTATGAAATTCTCGTTAATCGAAGAGTTTGTAAATTTTAATCGATTAGAAGTTTGATAAAACTTTGTACATTGTCTCCATGAATTTATCCTCTCCAAGAGATGGTTCTTGGTCTCACGATTTATCAAAATTCGAATGTGCGCTGCACGATTACGAGAAATATTGAATCAAGAGAATGTGACTTTTAAGAATTTGTTAAACTTGTTCGAACGAGTGTTAATGTTTCTGTCTTTTCTTTTTTTTTTTTGCAGAAAATCTAGCGCCGTCAGAGTTGAAAAAGTTGAGAAACAAACAGAGGAAACAACGTAGAAAGGCGGAGCTGGAGCGGCAGCAGGCTGCCCAAGCGCAAGAGAAGAAAGAGCAGCACAACAAGTCACGGCAACAAACCGATCCCGATTTAGAACAGCCTACGCTAGACGAACTTATACCGGAGAAACTGGAAAGGGTCAGTGTAAATCCGAGTTGATTGTCCCGGAGATATACAACGTTTGATATTCGAACTCAATGATTATTTTCCAGGTCGAGGATCCTCTCGAGCAGGCAATCAAATTTTTACAACCTTTGCAAGACCTGGCATCAGATAGAATAGAAACGCATCTTATGGCATTTGAAATATACATTCGCAAAGGTGCGTAACGTCGATAGTATTTTAAAAATTATTGGAAAAAATGAAAAAAAAAAAAAAATCAGATTGTACAATTGTAGAAAGGAGGATTTTACCATTAGATCTGATTCTGAAAGCTCGAACTTTTTGTAGGTCGTACGTTGCTGATGTTAAGGTCGATAAAACGTGCACACGGTCTAAATCCCAACAATCCGGACCTCCATACGTGTCTAGTACGTTTCATGTTGTACATTAACCGTTCACCGTTGGAAGGACCAGTGGGTGAGGTAGTGAAACGTCAAACCGCAGGGATCTACTCGACATCAACGGCCACTCAGCTAAACGCGGAATTCCTAAAGAAGAATCGAAACTCACTGCCGCATCTGCTCCAGGGCGCGAAGATACTATACGTCCTGGACCCGTCCGCTCAAACGAAAGCTCTCTCCCTCGTCACAAACATTGATGATCTCGAAGGTGTAACACTGCAAAATTGTACAAAGGTACTGGAGTCGTTGCGTAACGGTGACTTTGGCCACTGTGACTCGACGATCGCCGACTATATGACTAAATGTCACAAATACTTTCCATACGCGACCGCTTTTCGACCGTCGGAAACGAAGGTGACGGTAACGATCAAACATCAAGAGAAAGAGAATTCCATCAAGAACTGATCCAGGTACGCGCTATCCAGCGTTACTGAATCATTATGTAGTTAGACAACGAGGTGGTAAAGTACAGTGTGTAAAATATATGAAAACGTGCGTAAACTAACACATTGGTACAAAAATACAAGACTTGAAATGCAAGATTCATATGCGCGCTCTATGAATATTTCTACTTGATGTTAAGGTGTACTATTTTCAGTGATGTCTACATAAATACTCTACTGTGTAGAGTTAGCAATTGTTGTATTTCTAGAAGAAGAACGTTGGATTGTTCACTCGACAAGTTTTTTGCGAAAACTTAGCGTTTTCCTTCAAGAAGTACGATTTTATTTCTGTATTTAAAGCCAGGGTAATGATCTACGTCTGGATTGGAGCCCTGATATTCCATCGAGAGAGAGCAGCCAATATGAAAATAGTATCCGTTTGCGAAAGTCTCTGTGAAAGTTATTGTAAGAACAATAAAAGTGCATATTGTGTACGCAGGTTACCAAAGTATATGATAAATCGAAAACAATAAGTGTCAATAGCAAAACTAACAATCGGAAAAAATATCATGCATCTGTATGTCCACAGATTACAGAAATTTTAATAAAAGGTAATGTTCAAATTTACCGACATAAATCGAACCAAGTTACAATTGTCTCGTTTATTTTTTTCATGTACCAACATATATTTATAAGTTGGTAATTTTCCTTGAACGAAAAAAAGAAAAAAAGAAAAAGAATTCAATAAGATACAAATACTACAAAATAGTGATAACATTTGTATATATTTCAACTACTACTTTAACAATATATATATATATATATAAATATATATATATATATATAAATATAAATATATCCACACACACATTTCCTACATTATTTAAGTCATAGAATATAATTTTGCGATTAGCTAATATTATGCCAACGTTGAAAACTCATTCAAAGTCAACTTAAGAGTAATCATAAAAAATAAGATATTTGCATTAAGCGGCATATTCATAGTAAATGTATATTCAACGTTTCAATCACTTGTAATATATGACGGACAAAAATTCATTACGTACATGCAAAATTAATCGATGGAATAATCTTCTATCAGAATATAATGAACATAATTGTATTGATTAAACTAAATACCTTCTGTAAATGCATGGAATGTTTCTCAGGGCTACATAAATAATATCGTGACATAAGCGATAATGTAGATGTTTTACTCATTCATTTACCTATTAGTCATTTAATTGTACAATGCAAAGGAAATATAATACGATCGCCATACTAGTCACGAAATGTTTTTTCTTATAAAAGATTAATATTAGAAAAATTAATGCACATTATCATACATCATTCACGGTGCACTCAACTTTTCTACCATGCATCTACCGAAGTGTTGTTATCCTTTAATACTATTTTTTTTCTTTTTTTTTTTGTGATACATTTCTTATAGTACACTTAAACTTTTGTATAATTAGTACATTTTGGAAAAAAGAAAAAAATATATATGTGTATATGTATATTTTGTCAAAATGTAATAATTAGGAAAAGGAGAAAAAATATATATATACATATATATGTATATATATATATTTTTTTCCAAAATATGATAATTATACAAAAAATTTTAGCGTATTGTAAAGAAAGTATTATATAAAAAAAAATATATATATATATATATTAGTTGCTCCAATCTTTACCGGAGGTTGTTACCTTACTATAAAAATTTCTATTCCGCTCGTAATTAATTATCAAATCTTCGAAATAAACAATGTTGATTAAGAATGATACATTAATTTTTAATTTTTCAAAATTCAGTTCAAATTTGCCTTTGAGTCCTTCATTTAATTGTACGAGCAAACGATAAACATGGGTACCTCAACCCATATCCTCTTCCATCTCCTCGTGTAAATGAATTCATCATATAGATTTTATACAAAATTGTTTATATTATTAACTTCTAAGATAATTTGTCTAATTGAAGGGACTCAAAATAAAAAAAAAACAAATTAATGATTATTTAAACATGATTACTTACTGACTATTTTAAGTAATATACTGCCATTTGTAATAAGCAATTATTATACTTTCTGCATTGTAATGCTACAATTTACAATTTGTACAAAAATAGTTCAAATTCTATACTACTAAAGGATATTAGTATCTTTATTTATATACAAAATACATTTTATATCCATATATTTTTACAATATTAAATATTTTTCTATATGATGAATTCAATCATCACGTGTAATTACTTTCTTTATATAACTTTTCTCCATTATAGCTGTGACTACACGCAAATGAAGTAATATTTTAAAGACAAAAATATGGATATGTATAGTATGTACATAAACGTATCATTATATCAAAACTATGTTCAATTTTTGTTTGTTGTTACATTAATAACAAGTCAACATGAAAAAATTGTATCACGTATCAACAATTGCCCTTCCTTTAGTCGTTTTGTAAAAAGATATTAAAATATTATTTTATCATGGAAATGATAAAATATCATTCTATCATAAAGAAATGATATATACTTGTTACATATTTCTATCATGCCATATTTGATCGTGTCACTGTTTACACTTGTACAGTATGTTGTTTGCAATGTTGTTGCAGACAATATTACACCTTGATAACATAGCATAATATCTCTGTATTATTGCTAAATTCTTTCGCTTTCTGTACATTGTTTTATTTATTTTCCATAATATTATACGATGTTTAAGCTAAAAATAGGCTTGTAAAAAATTTAAAATAAGAAGGGTATTCTTTCTTTCTATCTGTTTTCAATTTAGTTTTGCATGTAAATAATGGCAATCAATTCTTGAGTAAAAGAATACCCAGTTATGTTAAAAAAAATTCAATCTGCAAAATGTCATTAAAAAGTGAAATAAATCATGAATATATATACTGGAAAGTTTTTCATTACAGACATATTGTCATTGTATTCTTACACAATTTTTATGCTATGCTGAATTTTTCTAGTTTCATTTCTATTTCATCTTCGTTGCTTATTTCCTTACTTTCAGTTGAATCGATTTCAGTGAAATCAATTATTAACTTTTCATATGTTGGAAAATATTTACTTGAAAAAAATTTATAATATTATTAAACACAATACATTTTGCACATGTTGTGATTAAACAAAAGAAACTTGAATTTTAACCAATAGTTTCAAGGCAATAAATTATATTAAATAATACAAAATTGAATTTCTATGGCTTCATGCAATAAATTCTGATATTTATACAAGTCTAATAAAAATGAGTAAATTTAAATACCTGTATTTAACACCTGCCGCGTCAAACATTCTTTTTGCAGCTTGAGTTTTCTTCTTCTCTGCATACTTATCTGATACATATTTAATTAATTTTATTCCAGATTGTATTATTACTTTGGCACATTCATTGCATGGAAAAAGAGAAACATACATGATACAGTTTTTAAGACTATAACAGTTCCGGTTTAAAATGGCGTTAATTTCTGCATGACATACTGCAAATTTGATCCCATCATTAGTTTAATACAATATTATAATGCAAGGTATGAATATGAACACAAATATGAACAAGATGTTTTTATTTACCATAGAAAGTTTTTCTCTCTAATGGATCAACAGAATCTTTGGACCAAGGGAATATATCATCACTGCAACCTGTAGGCATTCCATTATATCCAACACTTACAATTTGCTTTTCTTCGTTCACTATACACGCACCGACTTGAGTAACAGGATCTTTGCTACGTTTCGCGCTTAGAAAAGCCATGGCCATAAAATAGTTATCCCAATCCAAATAATTTTCCCTTTTGCTAGTTTGTTTACTATGAAAGCAACACAAAGCTCATATTACATTAATTAAAAAGATATTATTTATCTCATTAAATGTTGAAGCATTTACGTGATACAGCTTCCGGAGACTTTTCCGGCGATTTCATTCGATGCCATTTTTATTCTATTTTATAATTGTATATTATTTTACAAAACCTCTAAATCGTTCGTACACTTGGCTCTAGCTTAGAGTAATTAAGTTGTAGATAATAACTCGGTTTATAGGCAACAAGAAAATATACAATAACATATTCGTAAGAAATATAACCTTGAAATTATTCTAACCAGACCACGTGTTGCAAATCATTAGTTATTTCTTTAATAAAACAAAAATCTTTGTAAAAAAAATATAAAGCCGATCACTAAGATATATATCTAAAATCCAACTATTTCAAATACCACATGTCTAAAATATTTTTATCTTATTATCTTGAATTAAAAAGTAAACTGAAAAAGTTTAAACCTATGGTTGCGCTATCTATAGAGGAGCGAGTGAATTTCAGAAGCATGTAACTATGATACGTATATTTTCAGGTGTAAGAAGCATTTCCTTCTCAAAAAGAGACCAAGAGACCGAGATAAAGTGTCGCACATATATTTAATATGCTATAAATGTTATAATAAGATCAAATTAACATAATCCTAGTTTCTTAAAGCTTATCGAATTGTGTCAATATTAACTTCACCGATGAGAATAATAAATGAAACTAATTCATCAAGATTACAAAGAAATTGATTTTGGAAATCGTATGTTTAAAATAACTTTTCAAGTATTGTGATCAATACATTGTAATAATCGGTGCATGGTAGAGCTTAGGACAGGCTTCTTAGACACGACAACGGTGGTTCCTGGTACCGACAAATCATCGTTTCCATTTTAAATTTATTCTTATCTTCATCCTTGGATCATTATAGTTCATTATAATCTAATGTATACAGTAGGTACTTCAATTCTTTTTTTCACACACTTGTACATATATTATCTTACATTGGAACTGATTTAAAGTATTTACAGGTAATAAACGTTTCCTCCGGAACAATATTGTCTGATATTACCACGACGAATTGGATAAATGGAATAGCACATGATAGAAAGACGAGACGCACGCGGAATTGGTAAATGCACGCTATTTCGTAATTTTTGCAATTGAACTTTTCGAGATAACCGTATCTCTTGTTGTGAAATCGCGATTAGCGCATTATTGTTTTAAATGCAACGTAAATTTAATTAACATTTTCCCACATTTCGTTTGAACAAAGCGAAAAATAGGAAATTCTACGTGTTTCATACTATTATTGTTATCTTTTTCTTTCAATTAAATGCAATTTTAATTTTAATTAGACTTTAAAGATTTACGTCTATGTCTAATTCTAGGGTTCCATTTCGATAATGTGATAAACAAGTTAAACCGTTTGGAACCCCCAGACTGCTGAAGGATTTTTTAAACGCTTGCTACACAAATGAGTATACTTGGGCGCGGCACTGCAGACACGTATCCCAACCCCCAAGTATACTTAACGCTCTCTATAAAAAGGGCTAATAATTCGTGGATCATGGCACCCTTTACTTCAATCAAAAAGTTGTAATTAGCCTTTACGCGAAACGAAATTACTTTCTTGCAATCGTATGAATTTTAACTAGCAGTTAATCACGAATAATGGAATTTGGTAAGGTATTTGGTATTATTATTATTTTTTTTTTTTTTAATATCAAGAAGAAGCACAATTTTCTCAATGATAAATTAAGTTATTAAATTTCAAGGGAAACTCGTACATATGCCAAAGTACCAATAAAGATATCATTGCCAATGTACGCTTATTCCACGACATGCCAAACACATGTCATAGTATTTTAAGGTACATTGTGCAACTGCGGAATGAAAAGAGGCTTCTTCCATCCCAGCAACCGGGTAATAAAATAATTCACAGGATCGTGACGCTATCCCTCGGGGAATCAACGCGCCCTCAAAACATTCTTTACGCACGGTGCATCGTTTAATTCTAACTACCATACCCCTTTGTTGTGAGTGTTTCATTCCTTCTCTTCTATCTACTTCATATTATATACACTGTGGTTAGAATGAAAGGAAATAATAAAATTATCAGTCGATCTTTTAATGCTTTCCGCTATATTTTCCATTAACATTTTTTTATTTATCAGAGGCGTTGAAGTTTCAATGACATCGAGCATGAACAATGTACGCATACAGGCGGAGAATGGAATTTCTCGATAGCACCAGGCGACAGAAAGGCAGCACGAAAATTGGTCCAGGGAGGAGGACACGAAGGACAGTATTCCTGGCCGGCAGAGAACGGCGAGTATTGATTAAGGGGTTCACCGGGAGGTATCCTTGTAGTCGAGGGGATTTGCTCTGTGAATGGAGGGGGTAGTCATGGGGTTGAAGAGCACCGACACAAGCCGAGGGGGGTGTTTGGCCGATGTACTTGCTCGGGGGTTGCACACGCATCCGCTGCGTGTGCGACGCATGCGCGACGCGACTATGCTCCCGCACGCATGCACGTATTTTTGCGTGTATTTACAGAGCACGGTTGCCGAGCCGGTACGCATTGGCGGTTTGCACGTGGTGTTCCCCGGTGATTGACTGACAAAAGAAAAGGGGAATCGAGCCGCAAAAACTACGAAAGTGAAAAAGAAAAAAAAGAAAAAAAAAGTCGAATACAAAATACAGTCGAGAGAAAGGTAGCTTGTCCCTTGTGACGTATAACACATAATCTTTCGGGTAAGACACACTACGTAGCTTCGTAGCTCACGTGAGAACGATCCTCAGTCTCCTTTCAATTCGTAGCTCGAGAGCTAATGGCCTTTGTCAAAGTCGCGTTTCGCGTGGCGTTTAGTATACGTCGGTACGTACATACGTGAGATACACAATAGTGACGGTCAGTTTGAAACGTGGCTGGCTGGAGGAACAGCGGGAGGCTCTCGTTCGTCTCGATAACACCTCTTTCTCGGTCTCCTTTTTTTTTTTTTCCTTCCATCCGTTCGTCTCGCTCGTTCGCCGTCGTTTCCCTCCCTCTCGCTCTCTCTCTCTCTCTCTCTCTCTCTCTCTCTCTCTCTCTCAGCGGCACAGAACCGGCACCGGACACTGAAGGGCTGCAGTTGCGATCGGATGATCGACGAGTACGTGTCTGTCGTGCGCGCTGTTGTGTGTCTGCTCGGGATGTTGGGTGTCCTTACGATTTTTCGAGTCGCCTACCCTCCGTGAATCGAACCGACAGCGGAGCTAAACTCTCGGTTCAGGCTACGAGAACGAGCAATGTTCACGAGGATCCATAAGGTAAGAGATAATAAATTGTACTTACGTATTTTTTCTCTCGCGAACTGTGGACATTATATATGGTGGTTGTACAGTGGTAGACAGACGTTGCAACGCAACGAATATTTACTTTTCTTTCTTTTGAGAAAAGAACCAAATGAGAGAAACCTACCAGAAACGTTATACGTCCTTGCTATAATATAAATATATTTTCGACTGCACATGAAAATGCCCTGAGAGTCTCTTTTTGATACACGTTCCCTTTCTGATAAACGTTTGCCTTTCCCTCGTGGAAAAGAATATAAAGGGAGGAAGTCGGAGTTGAAACGTCGGTATAATTAAAAGTACAAGAGTATATCCGGAGGAGGTTGGCTGGTTAGATCAGAATCCTCGCGAGAAGTAGCAGATGTAACCGCGAGATTCTCGATTCTTTCTGACTCGATCGATATTCGTGTCTGAGTCGTTAGTAATTAATCGTCCAGCAGTGTGACAAGACATTTGACATCGCGAAAGTGATAGTAATAGGTAAGAAACATGCCTTGAAAGGGTGATCACCCTTTTTCACGATAAAATGTTTAGAGTACAAATTGAATGCAATTGAAACGAGTTGCGAAGCGTTGCCAATTGAACGGGGATTAATGGAAAACTGTATGTGTGCGTTTTATACATATATATATATAACCACACTGGCTATCTGTATATTTTAATTAACACGACGAACATCGTAGTTCGTGCCGTATGTTGGTTTATTTATCGTAGCTGTTTGACGGTGATTGTACGGGAGCCGAAGCTGTAATCTCGTCCCCACGTGTTTATCCATTATTTGAGTCGAGGCCTCGCTTACACTTTATTAACACTCATTGTCGTCAAGTATTTGCCTCTTTAGACAGGGGAATACGCATTGATTGGTAGTAATTGTCATCGGCTCGGTGCTTATTATCCTCCTTTGTACGATCTGTCAACTTTAAGCAACGCGGTGACTGCTCAAGATAAAAAAAAAAAAAAAAGAAATCGATTGACGCACACGGCTTGAGACTCGACTGCAAAATACGATATAAATAGCTTCGACTTTTTTCAAGTCTCTCAAGTTTTTAATCTTCCTGAACCGCGCGAATAACAGAAGATAATTTGCCAGTAATGAGACAGTGAATTTTCATATATTTACACACGTATTTACATTAAAAATATCTCGTCCAAAGTACAGTTGTTAACACTTGTTACAATATTTAGCATTAGCTTTCTTTTTTTTTTTTTTACTGTACTTGTAAAAACATGAACTTGCATAAATATCCGCAGTGGATGTGAAAATTTACACGACATAATTAAAATTTCGTTTCAAAAAAATGGATCGATGGACGTTTATAAAATTCTTACGGTGGAGAGTAAATTTCGGGAAAGAAGATTCCTCGAGGGCACACGGACGCGAGATCGAGTTTGTAATTGGAAGGTGTGTAACATCTGGGCCGGTTCTCACAGCGGGACGATCGGTTTTCCTTCGGCGACCGGTGGTACGATCGTGAAAAGACGCCAAGCAGAGAGAACGAAGTTCAAACCATTGCGTTTATTCGTGTGTGTCGCGCGACATAAAGTCATTAAAGAATTTCTAAGGCGTCGGACAACGGCCTGCCTCTGCCAGTCTCGTAACACACGCGATCGGCGAGCGTGGATGCACGATGCATTAACAAACGAGTGCACGTATTCATTTGGTCTCTTTCTTGCGATTAGTGGTCGCCTTTGGCCTTCATCCGTCGCCCCTGTCAATTTGACACGTTGCGATAAACGATGGAATTACAGCTACGAGGATTCAGCACCATTTGCTTTCCAGCAATTTCAGTGACTGGAAAATGAGCAATGAAAATGATTGAAAATCAAGTACTTTTTATTTGCTTTCAAAAAACATACGATAATTGCAGTCGATTATCGGTTATTTCTCGTTCTGGCGCGAAGTAAATAGGGATTAATAGTTGGTATAGGTAGATTATTGTCAATACTAACACGCGAATAATGAAAGGGAAGAAGGTTTGTAAAAGCTTCAAGTCACACGATATTACGAACACTTGAGAGTTTAATGATCGCGAGGTTTTCAGGATTTTCAGACAAAACGTGTACACGAAGTAATAAAATTACTGAAACGGTTTAAAATTGCTAGATCGGAGGACTTGCTCTGATAACCTGAAATGAAATATTAAAGCTTCTAACTTTATAATTGGATATAAATATTTTTGAAACATTATATTTTCAGTATAAAAAATTTTTTAATTAATTATATTTAAAAAATTTTAATTTCATTAATATTTTCAATAGTATGCTCTATATATAAAATATAAAAATTAATATTAAATATAAATATATTAAAATAATTAAATATAGTAAAATTTAATTAAATATTAATTTTCTATTTAATATTGAAAATAAAATCATAGTATTAGAAAATATTCAAATATTTCATAAAAATTTTGTTTCATAAATAATTTCATATTTATTTAAAAATTTTATTAAATAAAAAACAAGAACTTTATATATATATATATATATATATATATATATATATATATATATATATAAATTATATGTTTAAAAGTAAAATTTTTAAAAAAGACTAAAATTATTTTTAAATTAATATTTAAATAAGATTAGATTAAAAATAAAACCTGAAATAAATATTTTAATAACGAAATACTTATAAATTTTTAATAAATTAAAGTTAAAAATTATAAATTTAAAATTAAAATGATAGATATTAGACGTGACTTCCTTTCCGAAGAAGATGATCATTTGTTACAATAATCAGAAGATTTTATTACGGTAATCAGAATATTTTTGTAACTTTCAACATTCCGGTCATCAGCGTAATTAGAAAGAAAGAGGCGGTAATAAAATTCAAGAGACTATTATTACAAAAGTAACGAAGATGTTGCTGTAGCAAATTTTTTCTGTCCATTTATACAGAAATCTTTTTATTTCATTTAGAAATTTTTTTCGAAAGGCATTCAGTCGCAGTGCGAACAATCGCAGATTTCAATGATTCACAGTCGATAGTTACGTTTCCATCGACCACAACGTGTCAACTGAAACACACGATCTTTCGAAATCGAATGTTCCTGGAATCGATGTAATTACGTTCGTCGGACGTTTTCGATTAATCGATTGCGCAACACCTTTCTTATAAATCCGTCGACTTCGCCGTACAAGTAGATCTACTTGTAGGGCGCGTCTAAATTGCAAATCGAGGCTGGCGAAGCGAATTTTCTCTTTTTCTCGCGCTTGTTTCGAGCCATGAACGTGGCTCAAGTTTTAGAGACGGGACCTGTGTTTACAACGATAGCAGCATGGTGCGAGATCAACGAAGTCACGACTTTGTGAACGTACGTGTTCCGGGAATACCCACTGCATACAAAGTACTGCAAATAATAACAAACAGGTTTTTACGGTTCGCGAATCGATGAGGCGTTCGATCGTCGAGAATAATGCTCGTGGTCTGAGGTTATTTCCATACGCTTACCTCGAAGAATTTTCATTGGGAAAATGAATTTATTGATTGGAGTAATCGGAGGATTCACTTTTTCAATCGGTCAGAGTGAAGTGTAACGTGAAACACAATACGTGTAGCTACGTATGCGCAAGATCTTTGATATTATTATATCTATTATTGTAGATAATAGTTGACAGGTCAATTTTTAACCTTCGAATCACAGAGCTCGTATTTAATTGACCTTTTTGTTTTCAATCTATTATCGCGTTTTATCTCTGGTAAATATATTGACTTTAGTGACAGTCGAGTAAGAGTTGCACGTTACAAGCAGACTAAACGATGATTTCGTTTACTTGTTTGGAACGTAGGAACGAGGAACAAATTACAGATACAAATTTTCGTAACAATTCTTCGTGTATTAACTCTCTGATTAGTAGAACGTTCTGCAGCACATCGCGCTCACCACCGTCACGCTCCAAAACTGTTACTTATTACTTCAATCTTATTACCGCTAACGGAGCATTACCGCGCGTTTTAGAATCGTATCTCTTCAGGTCCTCTCTAACTTTATTAAGCAACACATTGAACACACATATGTATATTTATACGTTTCAAACTAATGATAAGTAAATGATTAATCAGAATTCGTATTTACTCCGAAACATTAGAATTCGTGTAGATACGATACACAATTTTATTTCTCTTTCATTTTTAAGTGTTTTTTTTTTCATTGTCTTAATGACAGTGAAAAATTGTCAAAATTTGAACTAATACTAAATATATAATACTTAAAAATGTATTACTTATATAATACTATATAATATATTATTATATAATACTTGAAAAATTCTTTTCTTAACTAAGTCTGCTATGATCTCAAAGATTGAAAATTTTCTCTTTACAACGAATGACTTGAAAAATTTGTTCTATGATTTTTTTTCTTTTCACTGTACTGAACATTGACAGAAATTTTAGAAATCCTAACATTTCGTCGTCTAACGTTCCAAATTCAATAAAATGGTTCGGTAAAAGAAATCGTACAGCGAATTTTAAGGACTTGTAGAGAGAAAAATCTCGATCTTCGAGACTATAGTGGATTTAATCACGAGAAAAACTTTTCAATGTTCTTACATGCGTTTGAATTTTTACAATTTTCGAGTAACTTTCCCATCTGCTACTCGATGTAAAGTCATCTTGGAGAAAAACAAACTCACGACTGTCAAAGTAAAGATCTGGCGCTTTAAAATGATGCCAAGTGTCATGCGTTGTATGATTTTCTTTTTTACAAAGTTATATCATTTTCAGTTATCAATTAATATTAATTTATTATATTTTATTATGTTTATTCATATCAAATTAATATCGATATATATATAAATATGACATATTGCGCTTTAAAATGATGTCAAGTGGCATTCGTTGTACGATTTTTTCTTTTTTTACAAAGTTACATCATTTTAAATTATCAATTAATATCAGTTGATTATATTTTATTATATTTATTAATATCAACACATATCAGTATGATATATTGCGCTTTAAAATGATG